ATTTATTTATTAACTATAAAAATATAATTGTAATAATTTATAAATGTAAATTTATAACATGAATTTAATATATAATTTATAAGTATAATTATAAATTATATCTAAACGTATAAAATAAATTAATAAAAATATATTAAATTTATATGTAAACTAATTTTTCGTTTAATTTGAATTAAATTTAAGAATTGAATGAGTTTAAATTTAAAATTATATGAGATAGAAAAAAATTATATTTATTATATATAAAGGACATTTATGCCAATTAAGACAGACTCACACACACAATCTATATATAAAATTCGAATCCAAGACCTCTTAGTTGGTGACCTAAGCTCGCAACCAACATATCCATATATTATTTTGTGCGGACGTCGAACGCAGATCATCATTCGGATACCAATCAAAATGCACCACGTCAGTAATACCAATAGTGGTATTGAGCACGGTACCGAGCCATGATGCAGAACGGGAGTGACGTGATGCATTCTGATTGATCTTTAGATGACATTAGACGTGCACATAAAATAATTTGACCAATATATCAAGATGAGTTGAGGAAATAAATAATGTCATAAAAGCAATATTAGACTGTTTATAAATGTAGGAAACAGCGTGAAAGGAATGGCAATACTGCTTTCCAATAACATTCCAATTCCCACCACTTTAACTCGCTGAGGATAAGGACGCAGCGCACTGCGCACAAATTCCCCTTTCCCCGCAAGAGAAACCCTAATTTGCTCAAACACGCTATAAATTCGATACTCTCTCTCTCTCTCTCTTCGATTGTCAAGATAGGAGCAAACATCGGGAATCTTCAAAGGGTAAACCAGAGAAATTCGCCTTCGCTATCGGGTTCTATCTTATCCCGCCCTTTCCGGCGGTTGGTTGAGATTTATCTGTTTGTGCGCCTCTGAGCTTTTATCTGGCGAAACGTGGGGTGGCTGATAAAGCAGGTGGAACTTGGTAGGTTGCGGGGAGTTTAAATTTTCTTCTTCTTTTGGTTCGTCGGGGGTTTTTTTTTTTTTTTTTTCTTCTTTTGGTTCGTCGGTTTTTTTTTTTTTTCTTAAGGAATCAGATGTCGTTTTGGAGTATTGTTCATGATATGAGGGAGGAAATTGGGAATATATCGAGGAAGGGTTTTGAGGTGAAGTATGGGCTAAGGTCGAGGTCGCATCGAGTAGTGCATGACGAGGTGAGGCCTATGCCGATCGAGGCGCTGAGGCAGAGCTGTTGGGTGAATTTGCCTCCGGAGCTCCTGCGTGATGTTCTGATGCGAATTGAGGAGTCTGAAGTTGCTTGGCCTGAAAGGAAGGACGTTGTTGCGTGTGCTGGTGTGTGTAGGAGCTGGAGGGAGATCATGAAGGAGATCGTCAAGACCCCAGAAATTTCACAGAAGCTGACGTTCCCGATTTCTCTTAAACAGGTATGGTTGATGATACTTATCTGCAATAATTCGATGCTCTTGTTTCTAACTCTGTATTAATATGCTTTATGCGTATTGAATTATTTGTTGGTGGATGGAGTTTTATAAGTTAATCGCGTAGTTGATGCGTTTGTTATAGTGTTGCACTTGTTTTATGTGTTTAGAGATAGATGTTTGAACTTTGCCTTGAAATAGCAGGTGCTAAAAATCATAATTTGATGCACTCTGCCCATATATCTGTTTTGGCAAGCATTACATCAAAATTATTAAAGTTTATTCGTAGAAGCCTCATCCCAGAAGAACTTAAAGATCTCCAGAGAATATGCATCTTACTGAGTTACTTTTGGTTGATGTTATCAAGAATTTAGTGCTATTAGAAGTCAAATTTATATGTCACAACTTATGGGTTTGGCTCAGTTCTGTTATATTAAATTATCAATGCTATTTATATTAAAATAGAATAATATGATTCTTCATATGTCATTACATTAGTTGTCGACCAATTTGACTGACATGTCAACTTAAATATGACTTGTTTCTCATTTTTGAAATGGTATTACTGGTGTGGTGAACCAGACCGTATACATCGTTAAAAAACATAACTTTCTTTTTGTAGATGTCATACACCAAACAATCCTTAGGTTAGCTTGAAGGGGTTGAGATAATGACCATACCCATGAAAAAATGTTTTTAATTTTTATCTCCATGTTTCCAATTTTTCCGTTTCAAGAAATTGGCAGACATGAGCAGTAGCTTAATGAGTGTTGACTTAGGTTTTGTTTGGGACGGCTTTCTTATTGCTTCTTAAAGCATATTTCTAGTACAAAAATTAATTTTTTTTGTACTAGAAAGGTTGCTTTAAGAAGTAATAAGAAAGCCGTTCCGAACAAAGCCTTAAAGACACCTAAAATAGCTTTTAGAACACCAAGTGTTTTTGTGAGTTGAAGTTAGCACCTAGATCCGCTATTGTAATAATCATATTATATTCTTTGCTTCATGCTTTTTATTTCTACGGTTAGAGGAGCTCATAGGGGACTAATGATAGTTTAGTTAATTCTAGTGATTGTGGACATCCAAGGGTCCTTGTTGTTGCGGTTGGCTTATTCTATTGTTGACAAATGAAGCTTCATTGTCAGGTCGATTTTTTTTTTTTTTTTTGGTGTGTGGCTCATCACATTAGATATTTTGTTACCTAAGTTCTGATTTTGAATGTTACGGTGGACTTTTTTATCTTTTCTTTTTTCACTTTTTATGCAATTTAATGTTCTTTTTTAAACATTATTTATATACTTTGTCAGGAATCAAGTTTCAAGTACTTTGCCTCATGCTGTTAAACCACTTTTTTGCAGCCTGCTCCAAGGGATGCCCCACTACAATGCTTTATAAAGAGGAATAGAACTACTCAAACATACTACCTTTACCTTGGTCTAACCCAAGGTAAGCTTTACTTCTTTTTTTATTTCACACTAGTGAATAATGTAACTGATTTAATCTATTTGAAATATACCCCAATGAAGTGCACTTATCTTTTTTATTTAGTCAAATACTCAGACTTTGGAGGAATCACTCATCTATGGATTGTAAAAAAGAAGAGAATTGATTGAATTCATAATCTTTATTGGGTTTCATAATTTATTGATATATCTAACATGAGGAGTCGAGAACTATCTAGGAATGTGAAAAAAGAGTTTGATTCCGTGAGCAAGAGTTAGAACATTGTAGGTGTTAAAAATTGAAGTTATGATAAAGATTAATCTAATGTTGATTGTCCATCTGCTTACTTGCTAAATGCACAGTTTGTGTGGCTAACATTTCTACCTCTCATTGACTTTTTTTCACTACTTGGGTGAATCTTTGTTTCAAAAAAACATTAGAGGCAAGGGTCCAGAATAAGTTTAAAAACAGTCATTTAATCACTGAAACAGATTATCCTTCCTTTGGACCATAGACTGTCAAGATATTGTCACACCTATGAGCTGTCTATATTCTCAACTTTTCAAGTATGATGACACTAGAGAGTTGAAAGTATATTTTTAGTGTTGACATAACTTATATAGAACTGGTAATTTATTTACGTAGTGTTTTCTTCTGTTAAACACTCTTGTATGTGTCAGTACAATTAAGAGCGCCGTTATAATGAGTTAGTTAATTGAAGATTTTGAGAATCAAAAGGAATATATTATTTCAAGTATTGTCGGGGAACAGTTTCCTTTTTTTTTTTTTTTTTTGCCCTTTTCTTATTTGCTGCCTCAAATTCCTTTCCTTAATAAAAATCATTATTGAAAGATAAAATCCAGTACTTTGCTGTATTTACATATTATCTTCGGAATTTATATTTTGATAGAAATGCTGATGTTACCAAAATTGTTAATGCCTTCCATCACCATCTTCACGAAACATTATTGGCTCATACTCTTTTTATTCCATAAAAGTGATTTTGGTTTTGCAATGGCGCTTATAAATGAAGTTATACTGTTGGTTTATTTAATCAATATGAGTTTCTGAGTATTATAGAAAATTTTACGTGAAACTTTATAGATATTCCCTTTGATATATAAAAATTTGCCTTTCATTAATTTCATCAGCACTTAAGGTATTTATATTGAATTTTACTTCTATTTTCTGGAAAAAAGGTTGATTAAGTAGATAATTCAATGGAAGCCAGAAGATGATAGGAAAAGGTTTTTAGTCGATGGGATAGAAATATTTGCTAGCCTTTTCATCTTCTGTTGGCTTGGAAACATCTCTAGCTCCCCATTTCTACAAAATAGTTCTCATTGTGAGTTTAGGCTGATTACATATCTGCTGTTAGAAATAGTTCATTTCTTGGAGGTTCATTGCTTTACAATTGATATAATAACGACCATAAAAAAAGAAGAGGGTGGGGGGGTTGTGAGTCCTCAGTTAGTGCTACTCAAGGGTGCAAAGTCAAGTTGTTGGTTGTTGTGGTTCCCCAAAGCCAAAATGGAAACCACAATTTAGAAAAGCTCTACGTGTTTCAGTTGAAGTGTTCGTTGTAGCATTCCTTCTTTTTAGGAAGCAAATAGGTTGGTTTAGATCACTTTTGTTTTTAATTTCTTTTGTTTATGCTTTAACGTGAAACAAAAATCTGCGATTTTCTTATGCAGTGCTTCATATTTAAAAAAATAAGTTTTCTTTTTGTCATTTCTTTCAACTTTTCTGAATTATAATCTGCTTCTTTAGATATTCAAAATATGTAGCTGCAAGATGTGAGCATTAAACAAGAACAATGCCAATGTTATAGGAAGATTATTGCTAATTACTTTTTTATTATAAAATATCTCATTATAGCATGCCATTGTGATAAATAAATTATTTGACTAATAATATTCTAAACTCTTTGTTGTGCGTGATTTCAAAGTTTTCTTACATTGCGATCACAAAAAAGAGCTATGCTTTGTAATTGAGAATAAATAACATCAATCATTAATGACATTGTGTGATGCACAGATCTTTCCTCTATATAAAGCATAAGATTCTCATTTTTATCATTTTCATCATGATTAGTTTTTGCATATTTCCTTCTATTTAGAGATTTTTATTTATGCTCTTCTTCCTCTGATTTTCCCTTGAGCATTGTAGATGTTATTTTAATTTTTGGTAATCAAATTATTTTTATTTGCCAGCCCTAATGGACAATGGAAAGTTTCTACTTGCTGCACGCAAATGTCGACGTGCCACATGCACAGACTACCTTATCTCAATAGATGCTGATAACATGTCTAAAGGAAGTGACGGATATATTGGGAAGTTGAGGTACGCTTCAACCACAATTTTGGTTTAGCTGGATATTATTGTCCATTAAGCGTGATTGGCAGCCTTGTATAAAAACGAACTTACACATCCATCTGAACTTCTTTCTGAATTTTAAAAATTATTGATCGTTTTATTTCAGTAGTTATCTTCTAATTGAAAACATGAATGGAGAAATGTGTTAAGACTTGTTCTAATTTTCCTTCTCTGCTTTTTACTTCGCCAGATCAAATTTTCTTGGTACCAAATTCACAGTTTATGATTCTCAGCCTCCTCATGCGGGTGCCATAGCCTCAAAAGGACACTTCAATCGCCTGGTTAGCTCCAAACAGATCTCTCCTAGGATTCCTGCAGGAAACTATCCAGTTGCACACATTGCTTATGAGTTGAATGTATTAGGGTCAAGGTGAGCAATATTTGCTTAATTTATACATATTTCCTCTTGTAGAAAAGCCCAAGTCTTTTCAACGTTCCTTAATTTTTATGAGTATGTTTGCTTGTGATTCAAGTAAACTTAATGCTATCAAATGATCTGGATCCCACCAGGGGTGGGAGGGAACTGATACGAAATACTTGAGTTCGCAAGTAATCCAAGAGGAAATACTTGAGTTTGCAAGCAACCCTATCAATAATTTGCCAAAACAGCGATAAAAACAAGAAAATGTGGAGGAAATCAATTTAAGAACAATAGATTGTAATTGTAGAAATAAAACAAAACAAACTCCAAGTAAGATACAATTCGAGATGAGGATCATCTCTCTCAATCTCTAGATTTTGGATCTAGAGCTCAAGACACCAAAAAGACTCCAAGAGAACAACTCCAATTCATGCATGCCCTAACCCTAGCCTCTCATGTTCTTTAAATACAATCCTTCATAATAAAAAGTTTCCTAATATAAATTAATTTCAAATTGTCCTCATCTTGCTTAAACCGCCCTCTCTCTCTCCTATTGCCGCCCAAGGAGGTAGGGTCCACATGCTTAGTCTACCTCCTATACGTCTGAACCGGCCCCTCCTAGGCCGGTTTGGGCTGAACCGGAACAGGAACCTTATGGGCTGGGTCATGCTTTATCTATATGTTGTGTGCATCAATTATATTCTTGGTTAAAATTGACTGGCTTGTGATCAATTCTGCTTTTATATGACCCAGAGGTCCTAGGAGAATGAACTGTGTCATGGAGTCCATCCCTTCCTCTGCAGTGGAACCTGGAGGAGTCGCACCGACGCCAACTGAATTTCCTCTTAACAGCATTGATTCTTTTTCATCAATCCCATTGTTCAGATCCAAATCAACTTGTGCACCCAGCATTCCTCCAGGCCCTTTAAGTTCTCCGAAAGAAAAAAAGTTGATCTTAAAGAATAAGTCCCCAAGGTGGCACGAACAGCTTCAGTGCTGGTGTCTGAACTTCCGGGGGAGGGTAACTGTTGCATCAGTAAAGAACTTTCAGTTGGTTGCTTCAGGAGAATATGGGCCAAATGGACAGGATTATGATAAGGTTATACTTCAATTTGGAAAAGTTGGAAAGGATTTGTTCACTATGGATTATGCATATCCAATTTCAGCATTTCAGGCCTTCGCCATCTGCCTCAGTAGCTTTGATACCAAAATAGCTTGCGAATAAAATAAGGTGCGCCTTGCTCCCTTCTACTGGAGAAATTATTCTATGCCGAGTCCGGACGATAAAGAACGTCCGGATGGGAGTGTACACTCACATCCGGATGGTTTTTTACCGTTCAGACTCCACACGGAATAATTTCTCGCAACACTGAGACTAGTCCCTTTAAAATTTGGAGTGAATTTTTCTGTTCTTATTGGAATATGATATCTTTCTTTTTAAGGCATTAATAATAATTTATTGATCTCTAATGAGGTAGAGAAAACTTTTAATTGATCTATAAATAATTTGGCTGGTTATCTGAAAGAATTTTTTCTTCTTCTGATGTCAGTTATTCTTTGCTTGTGTAACAGTCTACATTCTCCGGAAATCCTAAATTCTTAGAACGCAGGAAAAAGACTAGTGGTGTGATGTGATTGGAGATTGGTGGCCTTTTGAACTTGTATAGTGATTTTCTATTGTATATAAACTGATACGAGTTTGTGTTCTTTTTCTTCTGTGAGAATCACATAGTGTTCTGTAATGCAGAACTTAGTGAATGCGATAGAGATTGAATTACTACTTTATTTCTCTGCCTTGTTTGCAACATGCTTGCAACTTTAGTTTTGTATTTTTTTTCCTTGGGGATTTACACGCATAACATTCAAAATTATCTTATTACTATGTACTTAACCTACCACTTCATTAACTTCTTCTCTCATGAAAAAGAAGAGGGGAGATGGTCATGATGGGATATTGTTGGGGAAAGGCATTGACGGGACGGTTGCGTGTGCAGTTCCCTCAATGATGAATAAGGAGAGATTATTACGTGCGGTCACCAGACTGTTCGGAGGCGAATCAGGATGTCTCATTTCACCCTATAAACACATCCTGTGACCGCACGTAATAATTTCTTATGGATAAGAGAATAGTTGAGACGAGATCTTCGCATAGAAAGGCTATTGACATGATCGGCGGCTTGTGTTGTCTTGAAACTATTGATGACAAAGAAGAGAGGATGTCGCAACGAGATCTCATTAGGAAGGTCATGGGATTGGATGCATATGCAGAAAAGTTGAGAAGTTTGTTATGCGTGAATATGTAAATAGAATAGTTTTGTGTGTATTGCATATAAATTTCCCTTTTCTTTTGTTTCTGAATGGTGAGAGAAAATCATTAAGTATGTGTGGCTTAAGTTTGTGGTTTAAAAAAATAAAATTTTCCAATTACTATCCAAAGGATTTTGTCAAAAGTTTTTTAATTTTTTTCATTTTTTTTGGGTTTGATGTAGTAACATTCATAAATCCTTCAACTTTCTTTATTTGATTGGTAATTTTATTTCCAAAAAAGTTGATTGAAATCGATGATAAGGGTGACAATATTTGATAGGATCCGAAAACCCGATAAGAAAATTTTGGGTTTGGGTTAACCCAAATTTGAATTAGGTTGGGTTCGGGTCAACACGAATCCGAACCAAGTCGGGTTCATGTTAGAGATTTTGACTCGTTTTGGGTTGACATGGAAACTCTAAAACAACTCGGGTTGACCTGGGAATTGTCTGTCATGTTAGTTTGACCTGGATCATGTCAGTCATGTTCATGTCATATATGTCATCGTCTGTCGCTGCCAGCATGCTACTGTCACCTGAGCTGCCATTGCTGATCCTGCTGCCGGCCTGCATTTGGTTTTGTCTCGAGAGTCCGATAACACGACGATGAAAAGATCGGAAGTAACGACGACACTGCCGCTGATGCCCAAGCTACATAAGCGCTCGAATGGAGAGTCAACACTGACTTACGGCTCAATTTCGGATAAAAAAAATTGACTCGTTGGTAAAAAAAAAGGGTCGGGTTTGAATTGAATAGCGTCGGATCAATTTCGGGTTCAATCCGAATCCGACCCGTGACCCAATTTTGACAAGCCTTTGATGGCTAAATTCAAGTGGAGTGAATTTTAAGTATTTGTATTTATTCTATTAAGAATTCTTTTTCTTGGATTTACTTCTGGTATTTCTCTTGGCTGTTATGAGCTTAATTTTCATCATCATATTAATATTATATAATCTTATTATTATTGGCAAAATGAAATCACAGTATTCAACAAATTATATATAATTATATATAGAGACAAAATTGAGTTTCAATCGCTTTTGATTAATCAAATTAACAGTCTAATTATTTCGGTCAAATAATTAAATAAATAAATAATATATATTTATTTTATTTAAATAATATATATTTAGCCTATTAATTGAGAGATTAGACTTTTAACTAATATATGGTGTATGTTTTAATGTAATTTCTCGCATTATATATAGGGTTTACAAATAAGGCTTCGTTTGAAATATTTTTTTTGCTGCTTTCTAAAATAGCATTTTAATATTAAAATTTTTAGTTAATTTAAGAAATTTTTATATTGGAAAGATATTTTAGAAAGTAGTAAGAAATATTTTCCAAATGAAGTCTGAGTGCTCTTCATTTTTGTATATGTTTATTTTGTTCATTTACATGTTAGAAAATGTTGTAATATTGATGGAATAATCAAATATGTTATGGTTTGGCGAATGTTCAATGAACTTGGAATGGTCAAATCTATTATTAAATTGTTTGGTGAATTTTAAACTATTGGTTTATATTCAATGTCTGAATGAATATGATATATGCATATTTTTATGCAGACTTGTGTTGTAGAAAATATAAACATAAGATGGATTTCCGGCGGAATTTTCGCCAAAAATGGAGATACAAATCTAGAGGAAACATTCCGCCGAAATTTCTAGTGGATAACCCGTTAGAACTTTTCTAACGGGTTATCTGCCAGAATTTTCGGCGGAATGTTTCCGTCGAAATTTCCGGCTGATAAACCGCTGGTGATAACTCTTAAACAATGAATAATACCGCTATATTCCCCCAGAATTCCATCGGTAAATCAATCGAAAATATTTCCAGCGAAAATATTTGGCCAGAACAAGGCTTCCTATGCGCGTTTTATCATCGACTATATTTCCGCCATAAATGCAAATTGTCTAGCTGATTTTGGCGGCCGATATCACCCGATTTTCCTGTATGATGAAATTAGAATTTATATTTTAGCTTTCACAAAATTTATATAAAATAAAAGAATTTTTTTTTAAATGTTGAAGTTTGTTAAGTAAAAAAAATCTCAGGTCATAATTTAGTTTAAATAGATCTATTAATCCAATTTGAAGTTATAAGTAATAAGTCTCAACTCTTCCTCACAATAAAAGGTAGGGCTATGATGTTCAAGTTCAGACTATGAGATTATATCTAATTATGATGGTTGTTGAAGGAGTAGGATGTGGATGAACTATAGTTGATTATGAACGACATATAATATTGATTAACAGATGTTCAATGTTGTTGGTCGATGAACATTGATGATGCTTCATTACTCAAGGAAATTGTCTCATAAGAAATCTGAAATTGATAACTCAAATCTTTTTTTTTTTTCCTCTCATTTGGTGAGAAAATAATTATCATGATTGTTCCGTAAATTTTATGCTTGTTGTTGACAACTTGAGACAATCCTTCATAGTGACGGAGCTAAAAACTTCTTATAGAGAGGGCCCAAACTTCTCACAGACGTCGACGGTGCGAAGTCGAGTGGAGCAGGGAACCACATATGAATCTTCCTCAAGTCGGCGTCGAGCGGAGCAGACGAATCACCAGAAGAAATAAAAATTAGGCTCTTTTTTTTTTTTTAATTTTCCTGCTGTGGCAAACTGACCTGTTTGAGGCATATTAACTGCAGAACATACAGCTCCTTATATGTCTGGTCCACTTGTGCAAACTAATGAAATATAGAACAGTGTAATTGCAAATAGACAATATTATAAAACTTGGCTAACTTCATCATTGTTCAGCATGTACTGAATTTTGCAAAGCTGCAGAAAAAATATAGCAGAGGTACCTAATGCAGCGTTACGAATAAGCTCTGAATGCATTGAGAGCTGAGCCCTTATGGGGAGAAGAACAGAAACTCATGTGATGTTCCAGAATCTAATTTGAAAGAATTATTTTTTTATCGAATATCTCTGTATTTGTTCTACAGGCTCGTATAGTTGCATCTTTAACAATTGAAAAGTTGTGATATGATTGTGTGGATCATGAGTAGTGTATATAATTTTTGGTAATAAATACAGATATGTACATTGATATTTTGAATTAGAGAATATTTTTTTGTTGTTTATTACTGATAGATGATATTCAATAGGTCTGGTTGTTATTTATTAAATGATAAAAGAATAATTCTTCTAATTTAAATTATGAGGCATCACAGCTCCACCCACCTAACCTCTGAATTAGAGTTTTTTTTTTTAATTAAAGCATGTTTGTTGCTCGCAAAAATTCGGCGCAGCTCTTTCTAAATTTCAGAGGGAAAGCTTGGGACCTGACAACGGCAATATTTTTTTCAGTGGAAAATAAAATTAGAGAGAGTCGTCTTAGATGGTTTGGTCATATAAAGCAACAGCCATCCGATGACCCGGTTAGGAGAGCGAACGTTTTACTGTACGTTTTAGATCCAACATATGCTAAGAACGGTAGAGATAGACCTAAAAAGATATATTTAGAAAGTATTAGAAATGAGATTTGTTTATTAGATAATTTGACTCTTAATATGACACAATCGATAAAAAAAAATTCATGTAGCTGACCCCACGTTGTGGGATAAAAGTTTAATGTTGTTGGTGAAACAAAAATGTTGAATAATACAATTCGTTTCCATTAGCTAAAATTGACACAACATACATACAATTAAAACGTACAACAATTTCACCCCTCTATTCTTTTATTATCTAACCATAAAACCTACCATCCATTCCATCAAAATCAAACACACTAAACCAAATATTAATTTTCACAAACCTAATCAACATAAAATCCAAATCTCCTTACAAATTATCTCAAATATATCTATATATTCAACCACGAAATCATCACAAATAACTTCCAATGACAGAAAACCGAGCGAGACACATCCATCCATGCAACCACACACACACCCGGTACGTATTATCAATGAGATTTCTTCTGAAGACTAATCATGGAGAGCACAAGCACCACAGCGCAGATGACAGAAGCTAGAGTGGAGAGAACTATGGAAGCTGTCAAGTGGTCACAGAACTTGCTGGCATAGTTGCAGATCTTTGTCCAGCCGAAATGGTTATTGCCTTTCTGAGCCACGATCTCTATAGCAGCAGCTGAAGCGTTTCCTGTGAAGAGGAGAATGGCGACGATGAGATCGGCTATGGAGAGAGGAAGGTGGATGGAAGAGTTGTTCTGGTTGGTGAAGGAGATGCCGACGGAGACTGCAGAGTATACGCAGGCGAGTGTGTTGACGATGATGAAGTACCTGCATGTATTTGGTCTCAAATTAGCTGATTTGCTTAGGAAAATGAGCAGAATATGCAGATATGCTTAAAAGAACGTCTTATAAATAAGTAGAATATGCTTAAAACAACTTCAGTTATTCCTAATAATAGAAAGAAATATTGTGTTACGATATTCTAATGCAAGTCACTATAGAAAAATCATCTATTACCGGCGGAAAAATCCGTCGGTAATAGACGATTTTCATATAGTGAGATGCATTAGAAAGGATTTTAGAGTCTTTAAATTTACGATGAGATTAAGTATAATACAAACTATCTCAGTGTAAATTCAAATACTTTTGAAGTCCATATATTTTACATTAGAAATATTTGATCTATGATTGCTTACACAAATGAAGAGTTGTAGGTGGATTTTGTCTCCCCTTCTAAAGTATAATCAGCTGAAACATCAACGATGACAGTCTCCTTTGCCACACCCATCACTATAGTTGCTAGCAGAGTAAGCACAATGACAATTAGCCTAAGAATGTAACTCATCTTGGCCATTGAGGTCAAAGATGATGGCTTCGCCGGTATCGCTTGTTAGAGTAGACAACTTAAATAGCTGTTCTTACTTCCTATTACCGCTTGACACGTGTACCTCTATACTTTCTAAACTCTATATATATCTGTCATGTATGTAATTGATTAAGGGAGAAATACAAAGCTCATTTCCTGTCTTGTTCTTATTCTCTGTTTCAAGAAGTGTTAAACTTCCTCATCGCTGAAACCGGAGTTTCTTGCCTTACGGCGACGCCGCTCTCCAACTCTTTTTCTCCTTCAGCTTCCCTCCTCGTTGTAGCCATTGCAATAAAGATATACAAGAAAGGAATATAAAATGGTTAACTCGCTAGAAGAGTGAATATTGTTATTCCTCGTTCATAAATCTTAAATGTGCATGTATATATAGATGAAGGGTAAATTGTGTCTGATCACCGCTAGGTGAGTTCACCGGCAGTGTATATAATTGGATTTTGATAATGATATGGTCAACTCTTCTGCATGGTTAGAAGTCAACTGATGAAGCTTTCATAGAAGTTTCTTCTTTGAACAACGGTTTTGTTTGGTAGGCAAAGACTCAGGGTCGTCATTAATATGTGAACTAATTTTGAAAGGATGCTACGCGGCAACGGCATTATTTTCTTCTCTCTCTCTCACTCTCTTTGGTACGCATGCAGACTTGAGTGTATCAATTGGCCATGATAACGCGCAATTAATTGCTACATGGGATTAATAAGAAAAATAATTCGCGACTTCCCCCTAAGGCCATGATGAGAAATTGAGAGAAAAAAAAAGATTTAGGTTTCTTTTGGGATAGTTTTTGGCAACGATTATTTTTTTACTTTTAAGAATTTTTTGTATTAAAAAATAACTTTAAAAGACAGTAAGAAAGTCGTTCCAAATGAAACCTTAAAGGGCATGAAGAAGAAAAAGATGAGAAAGCTGTTCCAAACGAAACATTAAAGGACAGGAAGAATAAAAAGATTAGCAAAGTACTATATAAATTAACAATAGAGAAAGGCAAGTAGATAAGAGAAATGATATATATATATTAGGATGGTTAAACATTTAATTAATTACAACCATCCCATTAGTTTCAATTCAAGATTTACGCTTCTTATGCTTGATTCAACAATCAAGAGATGAATGTTAGTTGGTAGATATCAATTTTTTTTTTTTAGTTGGTAGATTTCAATGTACTCATTACTTAGTGACATTTAGGATTTAGACGGTCATCAAGTGATGTTGATTAGGCGATGACAATAGGCCAACATTAGTCAAGCTTTGATCTTAAAAAAAAAATATTGATTTGGTGTATGACCATTAATTAGGTGATGAAAGTCGGCTAAAAGTGATTGCTATCAAACAAAGTTTTAGAACTCTTAAGATCTATAAGCTCTCTCCAACCTTTAAGTCCTTTTTATTTAAAGGTTGTAGACTATTTATTGCTTTATGGATTTACATTTCAATTATTTTAAATAAAATCATGAACACCCCACAGGATGACTTATGTTGATTCCCTGGATTGCATATCGTTCTTTCGACATTTAAGTGCCTTAAATGGCATCAGAATTGAGTAATCCTAAACTCATTGAATTCCACTTGAGATGCTCATTTGGATAGTAACCACGTAATATGCAAAAATCAATTGACACCTCAAATAGTATCATAAAACTTTTAATTATACTTCAAGTGCATGATTTGATCTTATTTGTACTCTAATAAAGAACACTTTTAGTATCGTTGAGCTCATCCCACTAACATTCATTTTGACTGATAATATATAGAAATTTGAAGTTTAGATGGTCCTAAATTTAATTCAGAACTTTCTACTTCAACTATTACATCAAGATTTTTGTTTAATCAGATGAATTTTCTAGTTGTGTTAAAAGTATGGATTTAGGCTTCGTTTGGGATGACTTTTTTATTGCTTTCTAAATCGGAGTTTTAGAACAAATTTTTTTATTAAAACTCCTTTTTAGAAAGCAGTAAAAAAGCCGTCCCAAACGAAGTCTTAATTTAGACTAAACTTTGATTAAATAATTTATTTTTTTTATTTTTTTTCTCATTTATTAAGAATCATAAAAATATTTAAATGCGTTGATATTGATCGACACTAAAAAATCAGATCTGAATTAATTATTCCATAATAATTAAATTAATTTGTACACTAAATATAATAAAACGTGTTAGTAGACTAGAAGCAATAGTACTCTCCAAAGTCCAAACCAACTTGCTGGCTAGTGGTCTTCATGTGAAGTCAGTCCATATTTAGCGGCTAATGTCCCAATCTACAAACAAGAATAAAAAATAAATAATTTTTTTTTTTTTTTTGGGACATTTAGGCCATTTAAGGCAAACTCACACACACAACGCATACACAAGGACTCGAACCTTGGACCTCTTAGTTGGAAGCCTAAGCTTTCAACCAATAGGCCAAGGAGAGTTGTGTAAAAAATAAAAAAATAAAAAAAATAAATAAATAAATAATAAAATTGCAAAATATTTTGATGCAAAACACGTCAGTATGGACTTCAAAGCTGCTAAATTTATTTGAGATTAATGAGATTCAGGATAAGGGTGTAAGTGAGTTAAGCCAACTCGTGAATCAGCTCAGGCTCAGCCCGGTAAGCTAACAAGTCAAACTTGAGCCAATCCCGACTCGAATTATTAGCTCATGAATCGGCTCTTTTAAAAAAATATTAATATTAAATAAACTTAAATTAGCATTTAGACATTTAAGTATAAAGTTGTTAGAAATATTTAAATATCATAATTCAATTCTTTATATCATGTGATTCTTTATTATTTCTCTGTTAATTTCTCATTCTTTTTATCATTTTAGCATAATAATTGCTTGAATCATATTTTTTTTTCTCTTTCATAAAAAGAGCCAACTTGAACTCGTAGACTTAAGCTCGAGCTCGAAATCGAACTTGTTTAATTAATCAAGCTCGAGTCAGAAGTGGCTCAACCTCGGCTCGACTCGTTTACACATCTAATTCAAAATACCATATATAATATTAATCTTAATATAAATCTAAAGTCTTCAAACCACATCTAAATATTCTAACATAATTTTTTTTTGAAATAAAAAATATTACAAAATAAAAGTGGAAAAGTAATGTTCTTTGTTTACTTTGAAATTCCTGTCATTATCATTTGTTAGATCTCCAACTTTTTTTTTTATTATTATTATTATTAGATCTCTCCAACTTCTTCTTTCAAGTTGCAGTAATTTAATCATGCAATCACATTATTTTAATTCGTCTAATTAGATTGAAAAATTTTATCAGAAATTTTTGGGGAATTTTGGCGAAAATTCTACCATTTTTAAAATCCATGAAAATTCAGACAGTATACATTTACGGTGGAAATTAAAAATCTCTTAGAAATTTTTAGTATTGGTGAATAAATTTTCTTGGTTGACATATTTTAGTATTTTGAGTATCATACATACATGATCAGATGTTGTTGGAGGAAGGCAGAGGGGGAGGGTATATGGCTTGGGTTCGCAATGCTATGCTTATGAGGGCAGCTTATCCACATCAGTATTTTATGATCCTAGTGGAGCTGAAGAAACTATAAGCCAAAGGGTTGCAGCATTGACGAGAGAGATATGAGATATGAGAAAGGTTCAAAATGGGATGCAGACAGAGCTGTGATTCTATAGAGATGAAAATCAAAAGAAGAAAGAACAAGATCAACCACATGCATCACCAGACAGCGAGGACACGGAGGATGATTAATACTCTTATTTGTTTGATGAACTTATGATGAATTTATGTGTGAACTTATTTGGTTTAAACATTTTGTTTGATGAATTTGTTGTGTGAAAGCGAGGACATAAACATGTTATTGTGGATTTATTTGTTATCAGACTTTATTTGTTTATTTGATTTGATGAGTTTATTTATTTTCATGAACTTTGTAGACTTTATTTGCTTATTGTGGATTTCATTTCAATGATGTATTTGTTGATTGTTATAAACTTTATAATAGTTGTGATTGATTATGTAGATTTCATTTCATTTCAATGATAATATGTGTATTTCATTTCATTTCAATGAACTTTGTAGACTTTATAATAGTTGTGATTGATTATAGTGGCGTGTTGCCCATATTTGTGATAATTATTGTATATTATGTACATATTTAATGATTAGGATAAAATTCAGTAATATAGAGGGGAGACTGTCAATTTTTTTAAAAATGCTACAGTAATTCGGCGACCAACCAACGATTTGGCCGCCATAAACCTCGATACCGCACGACTTATTATAGACGTCGAAAGTTCACTACAGCCGCCGGTAATTACTGGCGGTTTATCGATGGTGGCCGGCTGTTATTTGGTGGTAATCCGGTGGTTAGCTGCCGATAATGCATGTTGTTCTAACGACCAGTAAGCCGCCAGTGATTAACCGACAGTTTATCGTCGGTGATCCGTTTTTTGTCCGCGGGTAACGCCGCGGTTGGATAATTGGTACGCCGGCCACCGATGATTAACCGGTGTTATGGCCGCCAGAAATTACCGACCGTCCCCACCGCTGGTGATTAAAACCGTTGGAAATAGACCGCCATAATTAGTTTACTACGCGGTTTATTCCGAAGGTTTTTGGACCGCCGAAAAATCGCCGATAATTTACTAAACCTCCGGAAATCTTAGATAAGCAGTTGGTAAAACCTGAATTTCTTGTATTGCGCCAAGCGCCCTTTTGGAGATGGCAGCGGGTGGATACCCCATTCCAAAAAAAAGAATTGAAACACACAATAGCACAATAAAAGGCAATTAATCATAGTTTTCGATAATAAATGTACAATTAGAATGGGTAGATTAATGCCTCCTCACATTAAAAAGATTAGGCTCTATAACATACCCAAAATAATGAAATCATTAGGAGCGGCAATTAATCATGAAACTTGAGCTTATTAGAAACCTTCAAAACAAAAATAGGATATAAACCTCCAAATGTTGGCTTGAAAACAAAAATAGGATATAAACCTCCAAATGTTGGCTTGAAAACAGAAATAAATGTCTTGTTTTCTAAAAAAAAATCCTTCTTTTATGAATCATGATTACCTTTCAGAACCCACAAACATAGAGATAATATTGTTTAACAAACTCATATTAGAGTTATATGTTATGCTTTCAAGGCTTTATTGATGATCGAGGAGAATGATGAGAAATATACTAATTATCTTTCAATCTATTTTTGGATTAAATATTCTGTGCGGTCGTTGGAGGGCATCCAGAGATGAATCAGGATGTGCTCCATCATTTTTTTATTGTATACCGCGTTGTGTACGTACCGAATGATCTGATGTTTTTAGATTGATTTCCGAACCATCTGGTGTCCGTACAGAATAATTTCTCCTATTCTTCTCACAGAAATTTCTCTCCAAATAAACCACATGATCCAAATATTCAGTGGATGTGCAATGAATGAACTGAAAGAAACAAAAAAAAAAACTTTGCATTCAAATAATCAATAGCACATCAATTGTCCACTCAACCAAACACCTTCCTAAATTATGACAAACGCAATCAAAGCGTTAAATTAATCAAACCAACTCGCCTTCCACAAACACACACAGGACATACATCCAAACCCTAAACTTCAGTACACAGATCTCTTGTGAAGACTAACAATGGATAACACGAGAAGCAGAGAATATGCGACGGTGGCCAATGAAGAGAGAACAATGGCAGCCGTGACTTCGCCGCAGAACTTATCTGCAATGTTACAGAACTTTCCCCAGCCAAAATCTTCGTTACCTTTCCTCGCCAACACCTCCACGGCCATAGCGGCCGCGTTGCTAGTGAACAGGAAGCCAAGCGCAAGCACGTCGGCGATGCTGAGAATAAGCTCAAGGCTGGAGCTTGACGAGTTGATGAACGAGAAGCCAACGGCCATCGCCGAGTAGACGCAGACGAACGCGTTAGCCACCACGAAATAGCTGTAGTTTTACCACACAAAAAACAAATTAGTTCGATAGAGTTCCAAAAAAAAAAAATTTACATGCTTACCATTTTATTTCATGATATTTACGTATCTAACACCTAAAACTTTAATATTACATTACTACCACTCATATACAATTTTAATATCAAATATATCACTCATACATTTTATTTCTATCGCTCATACCACTGTATAAACTTTAATATTTTATTTCATGCACCCATATTTGTTCTATGGATGGTAAGCATATAAAATTAAAATATTAGGTATTAGATATTTAAATAGCACAAAATATAGTGGTTTGTATGTAAATCTCATACCATTTTATTTCATGCTATTTACATATCTAACACCTAAAAAATTACATACATACCATTTGCATACCATGAATTCTTATTTACATATCCAATATACCGTATTTATTTATTTTTACATATCATCATACTATTTAAGGTTTTATTTTGGGCAACTTTCTTCACAGCTTTGTAGTTCAAGAAATTTCTATACTATAAAGTTGCTTTAGAAAACATTAAAAAAGGAGAAATTATTTTGTGCAGTCATCGTACCGTTCAGAGGCAAATCAGAGCGCAACACGTCACCCGGTATATAGTGGTACACAGCAGCACCCGTACACAACAAAATAGTGACTTGTCGCGCTCTGACTTGCCTCTAGACACCCTAAACAAAATCTTATATCAAAATATCATCAATATCATTTTAATACTATCATCATGTATAAATAATATAAAATTTTGGATGCTACATATATAAAACATAAAATTTTTTAGAGAATTTACATGCATAATAATCAGAAATATTTCATTTTTATATTTCTAAAGCTTAAGATTTGCTCATATAACATTTTATTTTTCAAATAACATAAAAAAATAACACCTTTATAGCAAAATTTTATGATATGCATGCATAATAGATCAGTTACATAAAGACAATATTGCTTACACAAATGAAGAGCTTTGAGAGGACTTGACCGTTGCCTGGTATTCTCTAGAGGTCTGTTTGGCAACGCCCATAACAATTGTGGCTATGAACGTTAGAGCAATCACCAGTAGCCGGATTATGAGTTTGGGCAACCGGCTAGGGTTAGGTGATGTCGCCACCGGCCTCGCCGGGCCGCCGCCGTAGCCTGTC